CTAACCTTTCGATCAGTACCTAATGTATAAGTGAATGTTGAAATGGCAGATCGAAAACAGAAAGTGTACCAACATACAGACCTCTCCCCTAGTTTTATTAATTTAAAGAATTTAAAGAAAAATGTCAGCTCATAGAAACTGGGTTGACAAAAATGAAATTTTTGAAATTTTAAAAGCGGAATCGTTTGCCCATGTTGGCCCACCAATTAGTTTTTTTTGCCCACGTCCAATTTTTGAGATATACATTTTCGAAAATTTTGGTAAAATTTCAAAAGTCACAAATTTTTGGAATTCAATTTTTTTTTTGAATCGTAAGAGAATCGTTTGCCCACGTTTCCCTACCTTTTAGAATTTTGAAAAAATGTATACTTTAAAAGTTATGTTAATTATAAGTTTTTCCTTAAGAAAAAATTGTTTGCCCTCCTTTTAAAACTGAATATTTTTGGAAAAAAACGTTTGCCCACCTCTTAAAACTAAAAAATATTGACAGCCCACCCTTTTAAAATACATTTTTATAAAAGCAAACGATTGTCAACCTCTTAAAACTAAAAATTATTGACTGCCTACCCATTAAAAATACATTTTTATAAAAACAAACGATTGTCCACCTCTTAAAACTAAAATATATTGACTGCCCACACATTAAAAATACATTTTCATAAGAACAAACCATTGCCCACCTCTTAAAACTAAAAAATATTGACTGCCCACCCTTTAAAACTAAATATTTATGAAAATAATCATTTGCCCACCCCTTAAAACTAAAAATTATTGACTGCCCACCCATTAAAAATAAATTTTTATAAAAACAAACGTTTGCCCACCTGTTAAAATTAAATATTTATGACTTTTAATTACATGTTTAAGTTTTAAATGAATGTAAAACAATTACACAAGCATATGCCAGTTTAGTTTTAAGGGGTGGGCAAACGATTATTTTCATAAATACTTAGTTTAAAAGGGTGGGCAGTTAATATTTTTTAGTTTTGAGAGGTGGGCAAACGATGGTTTTTATACTCTCTTGACTCCGCGGCAGACGCTCGATTTTTTCGTTTTTTTGTCGCGTAACAAAAATTGTATGTATTTTTTGTAACATTAGTTTTATACGTTGTTTATAATTTGCGTGTTGTTGCTAGCCCCTGAAGACGGACTCCGATGCGGGACCGAAATATATTGGGAAAAATTGGAAACAAAAACTGTGTTTTATTACATGGATCCATGACCTTGAGCCAGCCAAACAAAACATTAATAAAAATTTATTTTTAAAGGGTGGGCAGTCAATATTTTTTAGTTCTAAGAGGTGGGCAAACGTTTTTTACCAAAAATATTCAGTTTTAAAGGGTGACCAAACGATTTTTTCTTAAGGAAAAACTTATAATTAACATAACTTTTAAAGTATACATTTTTTCAAAATTCTAAAAGGTGGGCAAGCGTGGGCAAACGATTCTCTTGCGATTAAAAAAACAAAATTGAATTCCAAAAATTTGTGACTTTCAAAATTTTTCGAAAATTTTCGAAATTGTATATCTCGAAAACTGGACGTGGGCAAAAATTTCATTTTTGTCAACCCAGCTTCTTTGAGCTTCTTTGAGGGTGACCCAACGATTTTTTCTTAAGGAAAAACTTATAATTAACATAACTTTTAAAGTATACATTTTTTCAAAATTCTAAAAGGTGGGCAAGCGTGGGCAAACGATTCTCTTGCGATTAAAAAAACAAAATTGAATTCCAAAAATTTGTGACTTTCAAAATTTTTCGAAAATTTTCGAAATTGTATATCTCGAAAACTGGACGTGGGCAAAAATTTCATTTTTGTCAACCCAGCTTCTTTGAGCTAAAAATGTTTTAATTTTTGAGCATACAAATTATTCGTACATTTTTAGTAAATACGTCTTTTTATGATGCCCTTTAACTTTAAACGTTTGTTTTTATTGTACGTTCTTCTGTATACCTAGACAAGACTTCCAAGCCAAATTTCATGGTTCTGAAATTTAGGTCCATTTAGCCCCACCAGCTCATTTTAAGAATTCCTTTCAAAACATCTCATCCATGCGTGTCCTTTTTTGGAGAAAGTCCAAACCATTCCCAAAAGGATTAGTGTCAAGCAACTATGTATATGATTTAAGCTGGTTTCAATGGTAAGGAAGCCATTCCTGAACCAAATAATGCTTATTTTCGAACATTTTGCATGACTTTATAAAGAAAGTCTTTCGACTTATGGCAACTTTTAGACAATTTTTTTCCGAAAGTGTCCTTTTATATATAATTGTTAGTTGTGGAAAAAACACAAAATTTTGCCCTCCCCAAGTACTTATGTAGGCCTAAATATTACATTACAGAACCATGACTTGGTGAAAAATTAAGATTTTGTTCTACTTGATATTTTAGTGTCCTTTCCCAGGATTTTTGAGATTTCTATAACCAAAAATGTTAAACGTTAGTGAATGACGAAAGTGATAAGTGTACATTGTACAAATAACTATTGTGCTCACTGTATATATATTTCCAGAAATCGAACAAAGTCGTGGAATAACCGCATAATAGAGGATTATCAGCGTGCAAATAAGAAGTTGATTATAATTATTATTATTATTAATTATTAAAAGAGATTATGTTTATATTATTGGGTACAAAGACAGACCAGCTGAGGGAAAGCTCGAGTTTGCCCTTAAAAAATATGAGATTTGCTAATTGCGTTTTTAAGGTAAGTATATTCATTATTCTTTAATCACTGGAAATTGATCACGTATTGCTTTATTTATTAAACACTGGAAATTTTTCACCCCTTTTAAGGGGTGTTATCTTTATCGTTAGGAGTTGGGGACTGATCTCTGCAGATTTCCTTCTTAGGTCTAAATCCAGGGGCAGCGCTGTCGGTCAAGCCGGCAGCGGCGCATCGGTTTTATGTATTAGCCTAATTGTATATCAATTTTATATATATCTGAGAGTGGTTCTCAGAGAGGGAATGTTATGTGCACTTACATTTGGATCAAATTGTCGCAGCTTATCACCCGCGTTTGCACTTGAAGAGTGCTGATTCTGCATATTCGGCATTAACAGTGTTGCCAATGGAACAGTTATATTTTAAATATACAGGCCCGTATACTGTAAGGGAAATAGGAGAAAGAGATAATATTATTGTCTCTAACATAAAAAATAAAAAACAAACAGTTCATAAAAATAGACTTCAAATTTTGTATTTATAAACACTTTGAGATCTAGTATGGCCTGATCAACCCTACAGACACATAACAATAAAAAAAAAACTAAAACAAGAAAATAGCAATAAGAAATAAAAACTTCTAAAATAACTTTACAGTATTTCATTAATTTTTTAAAAGGAGGGAGATGTAATATGCACATATATAGATAACATAACTCTATATGTGCATATTACATCTCCCTCCTTTTAAAAATTAATGAAATACTGTAAAGTTATTTTAGAAGTTTTTATTTCTTATTGCTATTTTCTTGTTTTAGTTTTTTTTTTTATTGTTATGTGTCTGTAGGGTTGATCAGGCCATACTAGATCTCAAAGTGTTTATAAATACAAAATTTGAAGTCTATTTTTATGAACTGTTTGTTTTTTATTTTTTATGTTAGAGACAATAATATTATCTCTTTCTCCTATTTCCCTTACAGTATACGGGCCTGTATATTTAAAATATAACTTATGCCCTGTGTTGGAGCCCAATTTCTACTATAATTAAATTTATCGTCTCCAATGTTATTTCTTGGAATGCTAACAGATTTAGTATATTTTTTATAAGTCGTACGGTCAGTTTGTAAAGACCCGCCTGGAAGAAGGCTTTTTCGGTAATTTTTAGTGTGTATATAAAAGAGAGAAGAAAACGAGCTGAAATAAAACAAGAGAGAACGCTATAGTCGGGTGCCCCGACTATCAGATACCCGTTACTCAGCTAAAGGGAGTGCGAAGGAGATGGAGATAAAAACTTTAATCCGCCGTAACTTTTTAACGAATGGTCCGATTAAAAAAATTTCTTCTACATTTCGATAGGTATTTATAAACACAATAAAACTGCATTTTTACTTTTCCAAAATATTGAAATTTTTAAAATCGTATAGGCGATTGTGGGCGTTACAGGGGGCGTGGCACCCTTTTAAAACAAACTTGCGCTGCGTAGGAACTCCTAGAATCTGCATGCAAAATGTCAATCTTCTAGCTTTTATAGTTTCCGTGATCTCAGCGTTCATACGGACAGACAGACAGACAAACGGACATGGCTATATCGACTCGGCTAGTGACCCTGATCAAGAATATATATACTTTATAGGGTCGGAAATGCTTCCTTCTAGCTGTTACATACTTTTGCACGAATACAATATACCCTTTTACTCTACGAGTAACGGGTACAAAAACTGAAGTGCAAAACTTGGACGAAAAACGTTTTTTCTTTACAACAACCGGTCACTGTCGGTGCAATCATTTCCAGCCCCGTACCCGAAGAAATTCGGCTGATTTACTCAGAGAAAGGTCTGAACATTATTTGGCGACCGTGACAGGACGTGCGATCCGTCCGACAGTGTCAAGTTGTTGGTGTTGTACAGGCCCCGCTTTTAAATTCCACCAGACCGCAAAGGCGTCTCGCAGCGAAGTTCAGGCAAAAGCGCCGCAACACAAGCCAACCAGCGCGCTCATCCTAGGACACACGAAGGTATTGGAAAAACATCCAGAAGACGATCGTGGCAACACTCATATACAAGGCGGATCATCCACGTGGACTGGTGCTCCATCCAACTCATACACTCACACAATCATGGAATTGCAGTGAGTCACCGTAAGCGAGAGAACATAACCTCAATGTTATTTACTTCAATAAATCATTATTACGCAACAAAATATTCTGTCCGCAAAGGTTGTTATAGAAAATCATTGTTATTTGCTGTAGTTGTAGTGTTCAGTTGGATGGCCAAATTTAACTAGCTCCATTTAGCGTTCTATTTGTCAGAGATAGAAGTTATACCAGATTTGCCGCAAAATGGTTGATCCAGCCGATGCTGCCGCTGGAAGCGAAGTCAACACCAGCAAATTAGTATCCCTCCGGCATCAACGGACTACGATTACGCGAAACATGGACAATTTGGAGACCAAACTCGACCAGGAGAAGGAGACTTTAAACGTGCCAGCTTTAGAATGTTATCTTCAAATACTAGAAGGGCACAACTCAAGGCCAAGTTGAGTATCTACACAGTGCCGACACCAAACGAAGCAGTTTGGATGAGCTGTTCGTGGAAATTAAAACAACGCTGTTGGCCGCAATATCAAGGAAACGTCGGGCAAGCATTCCAGGAGACACGAAATTGAATAATTCATTCAATTCGTCGGTCATGCATCACAATCGTCTGCCAAATCTGAAGTTGCCGAGCTTCCACGGAAAATACGCAAACAACAAACGTTTTGCTGGTGCATTTTTAAATCTCGTGGAAACGGAGTGTGGCCTTTCAAACATCGATAAGTTTGCATACCTGCTTAATGGCTTAACTGGGCCAGCTCTTGAAGCAGTGCAGTTATTCCAGATTACCGAGGAAAACTACTCGAAGGCAATGGAGCGGTTGAGGCAGCGATACGATAACGACGTTTTAATTTTCCTCGACTACATTTCAAATTTATTTGCAGTTCCAAACATCGAAGCGCGCGAAGCGCTCGAAAGGAATCACGTAGGTGGAAACGACATACCCGGGCTTTCATCATCGAAGCAACCACGCAAATCGAAGGCATTTATGACCGTTATTGCAAGGGTTCATCTCACTACATCTCTAGTTGCACAGCTTTTAACGAGTGCCACCCAAACAAGCGCACCAGCTTTGCAAAACGCGCACGCCTGTGCCTAAACTGCCTAAGGCCAAATCACATTCTGAAGGATTGCAAATTCAAACGTCGCCCTGTTAACGTGAGCATCTAAGCAGGGAGTTTTACCAAGAGCTGTCATACAGATCAAGGACATGACCGGCAATTATCAGCTAGTTCGAGCTCTACTGGGTTCTAGCTCCGAGGTCAATTTAATCACCGAGGAAACCGCCAAGCGATTAAGCCTCCATAAAGCGTGGGTTTCTCAGGCTGTCAGCGGGATATCGAAAGCTTGTGAAACAATTCATTACAATGTCTTCGCCACACTCAAATCTCGAATTTCAAATTTTCAATGGTCATCCGAATTTGGAGTCATTAAGCGGATCTGTTCCAGGCAACTCCGGGAATATATCGACACCTCCACATGGAAGCTTCCCGAGGGAATCACTCTTGCAGACCCCAGATTCTTCGAACCGAACAAAATCGACGTCCTTATAAGCACCGAAGGATTTTTTGAAGCTATTCTAGGAGACAAACAATCGCTGGGTCAACACTTGCCTAGTCTGCTTAACACGGAGTTTGGGTGGATCGTCGGCGGTCATCTAAATTCTAAATTAACGAGATCCGGCAGTTCAATCGAGGACATGGTACATCGCTTCTGGGAAATAGAAGAGTTCCACACGACACCATCAAGCTTCTCTGCTGAGGAACAAGCGTGCGAAGATCATTTCGTAGCCAACGTTCAGTGGAATACTGAAGGACGTGTCCAAGTACGTCTACCATTAAAGGAAGGACATCCCACCCTCGGATCTTCTTTCAAAATGGCATCAAACCGCTTTAACATGCTCGAAAGCAAACTCTCGCGCAACCCCGAGTTAAAGGGGAAATATCATCAATTCATGCAGGAATACTTCGACCGAGGGCACATGTCTCGGCTCGAGGACATAGACTGGAATCATCAACACTTCTTTATTCCGCATCATTGCTTTTTAAGACCGCAAAGCAGCTCGACAAAGCTCCGCGTCGTCTTTGACGCTTTGGCCAAGTCGTCAAATGGCCAATCACTAAACGACATCTTGATGACGGGTCCTACAATCCAACAGGATCTCGTTACCACGATACTTTCATTCCGACTACACAAATATGTCTTTTCTGGCGACATAAGTAAAATGTACAGACAATTCGTAGTGGATGAACGAGACAGGAAGTATCAATTAATTCTTTGGAAAGGTGACTCCGAAAAACTGCAAATCTACCAACTCAAGACGGTCACTTACGGGCTGTCAGCCGCCCCATTCCTAGCTATTCGCAGCTTGGCGTATATCGCCGACGCATTTGTCAGTGAGTTTCCGATCGGAGCTAGCGTAGGGGAGAGTGGGGGAATTTCGTCAGCATTTTTTCAAAGCTATTTTTTGTCCATCTTAAGACACGTTATCATATTTCTATTTTTATTGTTGAATGCGGTTAGCACCAAGCTTTAAAATGTGACATTCCCCTATTTTTTTAATTACCTTGGTGATTTATAAAAAAATAAAATTTAAAACCAATATACTGGGGAAATCTCGCCACACAGGGGGGTAAAATCACCACACCACCGGGGCAATTTCGTCACCTGAAAAATGTAGAGAGTTTAACGCCTGTAAATATGCTACACTGATCAAGCCATTTTTGTTGACGTCCTATATTTGTTGCTGCTGCTGGTAGTCTGTTCGTTAGCCAGCTCGTCAAATATAAAAATATGTATTCAAAATAGGTGCGAATTTACCCTTAGCGTAGGGTGGCGAAATTTCCCCAGACAGTTCTTTTTTAGAAATAATTATTTTTCTTCCGAAATTAGGCGCGAAGTTAAAAATCACTGACGCAGAAATGCACATTATAGCACTGTGTATTATATAAAAAATCGTGTATCTTATTCCTTTTGAATTGTGGCATACAGAAAAAATTTCGTCGAGAACTAAATGTAGCTTTTGAACTGTTAAAACACATTTAATATTATAGCTTAATTATCTTGGCCTTCTGTGCAAAACAAATGCATTGGTTGTGTCTGGCCGTCTTGAAGGACTAAAACAAAAAAATTATATATTTTTACGACTTATGGATTCCGAGATATTGCAGGTGACGAAATTGCCCCTGTGACGAAATTCCCCCACTCTCCCCTACCCAAATCCGATCTATACGTGGACGACGTACTCACCGGTGCTGACGACCTTGTCCTACTAGATATAAAAAGGCATCAGCTAACCGAAATGCTGGAAAGAGCGGGCCTCGTACTAACGAAATTTCATAACAACATAACTAGCTTGGTAGACGGACTCGCAGAACAGTTCTCTAAACCATTGCAAGGGTTTTCTATTCTTTAGGGTTAATCAGTCCAATTGTAATCCGTTGTCCGATTTTCCTACAAAATCTAACTCTTTTAAAATTAGATTGGGACGAAACCTTAGAAGGCAATTTACGGCTACCCTGGGAAACACTTCAGGCAGAACTTAAGAGTACCTCGAACCTATGTATTCCAAGACTCGTGCACACGTCACTCAGCTAGGATAGCGAATTGCACGGCTTCCCCGACGCGTCGGAACGCGCATATGGATGCTGCATTTACATACGAGCTAAGAGGATCCAAGGAATCGAGGTCAATCTGCTAATAGCCAAATCTCGTACCAAATCAAAGTACAAACGCTTCCTAAATTGGAGTTATGCGCAGCAGTTTTGCTCTATCGTACGTACAAGAAAATAGCTCAGAAGATAGCGCCATACATCGGACAGGTCTGCTTTTGGACTGACTCCAAGATGGTCCTACAATGGCTAAAAATGCATTCTTCTCAGCTGAACTGCTTCGTAGGCAATCGCATTTCAGAGCTTCAGCAAGTTACCGACGAGGTTGACTGGCAACACGTGCCCTCAGCACAGAATCCAGCTGATATAGTGTCGAGAGGTTGGTGCGCTACAGAGTTACTCAATCGGTTTCGTAAGTGCGGGCAAAGGCGATCAATCTTTACATCAAAGGAGAGCCCTTCCAGTCACAATCACCGCTATCCTTGGTCACAAAGCTAAGGAAAACCTGCCAGAGCGCAGCGAGTCTGCAGGAAGCATCAGTCATCGACCAAATCTTCAATAACTCATCGTCTTATCACCGAGCTTTGCGAACTATTGCCTTCGTATTTTGCTGCTTTAATAAAGTTCCAGCTAACAGGGCCATAAACAAACAAGAAGTAGTACACATCTCAGCGCCAGAGTTTAAAGAAGTTTTTTGGCGGGTAATTGAACACATACAGCAATCAGTATATCACAATGAAATCTCTCTTCTAAAGAAACAACAGCGTGTAAAAGACAGGTTAAAGGGTCCATGTTCGTTTTTAGAATCATGGGTTCCCTACCCACAGACCGCTTGCGCTGCCGAAGACCGTTTCTTGTTACCGGAGTTGACTTCTGCGGACCATTCATGACGTCGTATCGAATCCACAGCAGAGCCCCAAACAAAACATACGTAGCCATATTCATATGTTTTTCGTCGAAAACTGTACATATCGAACCAGTTTCAGATCTCTCCTCGAACGCATTCTTGCTGTGCCTCCGAAGGTTCGTGTCCCATCGAGGACTACCAAAGCGAGTGTACTGCGACAATGGTACTCATTTCGTGGGAGCATCGGCAAAGCTATCTGAATTTAAACAGTCAAGTTTGAGCAATGAAGCGATCAGCCAGCTACACCAATACAGCGCAACTTAAGGGTTCGAATTCGGCTTTATCCCACCCCGTGTGCCCCACTTCGAGGGTCTGTGGGAAGCCGCGGTTAAGTCCGCTAAAGCTTTGATGGTGAAAAACATGGCCAAAGCCAACTTAACGTACGAAGAGCTACAAACGATCCTCACGGAGATAGATGCGATACTCAACTCGCGACAATTGAACGAGATGTCAATCTTTCACTACCTAGATCGATGGCAGCGCATTTCGTTTCTTAAACAGCAATTTTGGAATTTGTTTCGTCGAGATTGTTTTCACACGCTCCAGCAACGCACAAAATGGACCAGTCCACAGCCCAATATAATGGTAGGATAACTGGTTCTTATATACGAGGACAACGCAGCTCCCCAGAACTAATTCCTACTATAATTGAATTTATCGTCTCGAATGTTATTTCATGGAATGTTAACAGATTTAGTATATTTTTTATAATTCGTACGGTCACTTTGTAAAGACCCGCCTGGAAGGAGGCTTTTTCGGTAATTTTTAGTGTGTATCACTATGGACGGCAGTCCATGTAGTGACGAAGCGCACCAGGAGAGTGTGCGAAGGCGACTACTATATATACACGAAGAAATGAAAATCTACTGTGATGGTCCGATCATAATGAATGATACACCTATCGAAAGGTATTGCGAAAACTAACAGGATTGCATTCCAAGACTCTAAGAAAATCAATTGGCTTGGGAAAGAGAGCGGTGAAAGTGAAAAAGAGAAAATTTCGAAATTTGGAGCTGTTGGGGCCGGTGGGGATAAATGCCCCCTCTCAATGTTTTAGTTGTATTCCTTTTGAAAATACCCGTCGAATGAGGGGTATCCGACGCTCCGTTCAAAAGTTATAGCCAAAATAAGATTTTCTTCGTCTTCCCAAAATGAAAATTTAATTCTGTTTGTCAGTTTGTCAGTTTGTCAGTTTGTCCAAAACATGTTTTCTAAGTTTTGAAAATTTGATATGACGTTCATCACATCGATATAAAAAACTTTTGTTCTACCACTTTAGGAAAAACTCGCTAGTTTAGCGGGAAAACAGCTATAAATAACTAAAATTCGGAAAGCCGTAACTTCTATACTACTAAAGCTAAAGACTTGTGCTGCATCTCGTTTGAAATGTATTTTTAAATGCTATAAACGCTTTCCATATGCAATTTGTGTAAATGTAATAGTTAAAAAAATATGAACAAAAGACAATTTTTTAAAACTTTTTTTTTAGCTTTTTTTTATTTTTCTCAAAAACGGCACTAACGATTTTCTTTTAAACTTTAAACTGTATAGCCCTTGAGATTCCTTAAATTTTGGTATATAACACATTACTGTAAAAAGTCACGTTTAAAAGTTATTTTTATACGAAAATAGCCACTTTTGCAAGCTCGAACTACTAACGCTCCCTGAGTATTGAATTTTGTGTGAGGGTATCCGAACTGTATTTTAGGGTCATGGAATCAGTAAATTTGCACTTAAGAGTTCCATATAGGAATCTTTTGTTCTACACGCTGCACGCTGCAATAGAAAATGCCTGTGAAGGGAAAAAGGCTGGAATAGTTTGCTAGGGCGGGCCGAATGAGAAAATATTAGAAAGTCTATTTAATGACGAGTGTAATAATTTTTCGTCACAAATGTTGATATCAGAACTTTTGTATGTTGAAGGTGCGATCGTCACTAGTTTTTTACCTCGTTAAGAGGTGTTTTTATTTGATATAAGAGAGAGAAGAAAACGAGGTGAATTAAAAAAACTGAAGTGCAAAACTTGGACGAAAAAGTTTTTTCTTTACAACAACCGGTCACTGTCGGTGCAATCATTTCCAGCCCCGTACCCGAAGAAATTCGGCTGATTTACTCAGAGAAAGGTCTGAACACCCTGTTTCATTATACCCTTGTAGAGGGTATTATAATTTCAGTCAGATGTTTGCAACGCAGTGAAGGAGACGTTTCCGACCGCATAAAGTATATATATTCTTGATCAGCACCAATAGCCGAGTCTATCTAGCCATGTCCGTCTGTCCGTCTGTCTGTCTGTCCGTCTGTCCGTTTCTATGCGAACTAGTCCCTCAGTTTTAAAGCTATCGCGATGAAACTTTCCCAAAAGTCTTCTTTCTATTGCAGGTAGTACATATGTCGGAGCGAGCCGGATCGGACCACTATATCTTAAGGCTTCCATAAGAATATTCAAACAAATATAGGAAAATTCATTGTAACTTTGTAAGAAGTAGGCGTTTTGATTCTTGACTACTTATGTAAAAACAAAATTAAAATATAAACGTTAAATCTGGAATCCCTGGAACTGCACCGAGTAAGCATTACTTTATCTACAAGGGTATATAAGCTTCGGCTGGCCGAAGGTAGCTTCCTTTCTTGTTTTTTAATAAAACTTTATCACCTACGGATATATGTATATCTTTAACGCTTTTAATTTTTTCCCGAAACATCCCATTTTGTGTAAGTTGGGACACTTTGAGCATGTACGTTGAGACACCCGTTTTTCATACAAAAAGGCCTTAGCCCGACAGAGGTCGCTTTCTGCCTAGTACATTTCTTTGATATTAGGGGAAAAGTGAATGTTCAATGAGCCTTTTGGTTTAAATTGTTATTTGGTCTAAGTTCT